CCAACTCAGCTATAGAGGTTGGAGGTGAAGCAAAATCAGAAATCTGCAACCCCTGCTGCTGATGGTCGAGATGTTCCTCTCAAAGTCACTAGGGAGAAAAGATGCACATTTAAAGAAATGCAGCAGAGAATATCTGATGCAGACGTCAGAGCTCGTAGACTACACTACAACCTCGTAGGAAACACAAGATAAAATCATAAAAAAAGGGAAAAAAGGCGCACGACGTGTGTTCGTATCTCAATAAAACGCGTTTAAATGTCCAATTTGGCTGTTGGTTTGCTGGAAAAGCCCCCTCTTTATCTCTCGATTGAATCCCCCATCTCTTGTTCGGAGCAAATTATGACACACTTCAATTGCAAGAGCACCTCCAGGAACCGAGAGAGAGAGAGAGAGAAATAATAATAATCAAGAGTGGAAGCAAAGCATCCGACGGACGCGCTCGGGTTTCAAAAGGAGAGAGCAGGACATGGTCCACTCTTGAACGCGCGGAGTAAAATGCCGGTGCTTGTTGAGGGGGAAAAAAATAAAAAGCGAAAGCGAACTAAAGAGGAAAGGCAGTCTGTCCACGCGCTCGTCTCGCGGAGGAATGATGTCTGCACTTGTCGGCTCGCGCGCTGCAACCTATTAAAATGCTGCGAGAGTCTCCCGGCGCATTTTCATGCATTTCTCCCACTTTGCCACATTCTTCAGCTCAAACGCACACACACACACACACACACACACATACACACGCGCACACCCTCAAAACACTAACTCCGATAGATCTAGTAAATGCAAGTGATGTGGATATCAGATCGAGATTAAGGATCAAATTAAATCACAAAAATAATGATTGTGCATATTACGGATGAGAGGTGTGCTTTTCCCCCCTCTCTCTCCCTCTCTCCCTCTATGTATTTTCACTCAGAAGATGAGGGATGCAGGCATCTGCTGTCTAGTTGCTAGGCAACCATGCTAGCAGTGATGCAGAGCAGTGGTGTTTCAATGGCAACCTTCTCCGTTGCATTTGCTGGAGATGTGGGCATCCTCGGCCCCCAGCGGGCTCCTTGATGGTCCCCGCCGAAACATGAGGAACGCTGATGTGAAGCGCGGAGATAGAGGTCCCGTCAGCGCTATCTGCAACAGTTCAGCTGCGCTTTACAAGATTAGCGTAATGAAGCATTGCGAGCTGTATCAGGAACACCCCCTGACTTCTGATCATATGTTTACCGGGTGTAATGTGGAGCGGATTCTGATGTGTGCTTAGCAGTGGCCGAAGCGCTGGATTGGTTATATGCGATACAATATCTGTAACTCTCTGGTCTATCTACTAATGCATCCTCTGGACAGAAGAAATCCCCCTGAAGAATCTGAAGACTATGATTTAGCACCATGGACAGCAACGTTGTGGCTCTTATGTAGAGGAATGGATTCAGGACCATGGACAAGGTTCTGGAGAACAACTATAGAGCGCATGCAGGAATTACTTATTAAAGGGGTCCTATTATGCTCCTTGTTACAAGATGTAAAATCAGTCTCTGATGTCCCTAGTGTGTGTGAAGTTTCAGCGTAAATTATCACACAGATAATGCTTTATAACTCTATAAAACCAACGCAATCTCATGGCAATTCGTAACTTTTTGATTAAGTGGCTAATTCGTATGAATTTGAACAATCTAATTCGTACAATTTAGTTTGATTTGCTCATCACCCAATTATGGTTAGGGGTGGGGTTGTGTGCTACGCCTCCTTTTTAAAATCGTATATATTTCCGTATGACAGAACTTGTATGAATTCGTACGAATTAGCCACTAAACTGACAAAACGTCAAATAGTTACGTTTCCTTAAGAGATCAGGCTGATAAAACCAACCCAGGCTCATTGTGGAAACATAGCCCCGTGGACATTTCTGAAGATTGTGAAATAAAACAATTTTTGTTTTCGCGCCCGCGCTGTTCTTGGTGTAAAAACCCGCCGGTGGCCGCTGTCGAGCCACCGTCTGTTTGACTGACTGAATGACTGAACAGCTGACTGGGCGGCCAGCCAATCGGCTGACCCACCCTCCTCCTCCACCTTCCCTAAACCCAAGCAACGATTTACAAAAGCCATCCAAAAAAAGAAAAGCCCATGTCTGATTTTGACCGAGTTTTCGGAATTCATTGCATTCTCGCCCCGTTATGAACTCGTTCGCTTTATTTTTTGGGTTCTGTTTTTTGTCTTACCTGATTTCTGGAACCGCTCTCCCCTGGAATCGAACCCGGTCGTCGTAGCCGGCTTCCCCCCGGGCCTCCGCTCCGCTGACATAACACGACAAGCTAACCGGACAAAATGGTTGCGGCGATAAAAGCCCTCCACACATAGGTGAGCCGTCAGTCGGTGAACATGAAGAGTTTTTTTGCTTGAAAAACTAAATGCAGCCATACGTACCTCCGGCCCCGTAAATCGCGTTCTCCAGAAATGTCCGCGGGGCTACGTTTTCAGAATGTCATGGTTTTGATCCTAATTGTGCCATTTTGGTGATTGTTGAATTAAATTCAAATGAGTTTCTTTTCAAAAGAGGGCGGAGCTACTAATGCCTGTAAGAGGCTGTGTGGTCACCCTAAATTAACTTTCCATTTGGTTTGCCTCCAGGTTTATCTAAAACTGTCTTAATTCTAAAACATGGCAATCACAAAGCCCTCAAAACTGAGCTTTCAACATCTATACGTCTTCTGTGTTCAACAATAAATATGCATAAATCAGTCTGTATGTTTGAGGAGCAAATTTATCACATGATTAGCTAATGAAGCAGTGTTTGGACAAGTAAAGTCCTGCTAATCCCAGAGACCCAAGGGTCGACTGAATCTACACTGATGTAAGTGATTTCCCTGGTTAAAACAAGAGAGGGAAACTTGCAACCAAGCCTTATTCTGAAAACAAGTAGGTTGAGACTCAAGATGGTTGTTGATACTGGGTGTCTCTACTATGAACCTCCTCACAATTCCACATTTGTGCATGACCTGCCAAAATTCTCATGCCAAAATGCATGTCGCAGCGGTTCCCATTTTTACAACTTTACCTCTGCAGGGTTCAGTTGAAATCATACTAAGAACAACTCTTTCAGATTGAGGTCAAGTTAGTTTTAAATTTACAAATTCAGATTTTCTCCTTCATTCATTCATTCATTCATTCATTCATTCATTCATTCATTCATTCATTCATTCATTCATTCATTCATTCATTCATTCATTTTCTTTCGGCTTAGTCCCTTATTCAGAGGTCGCACCGCTGCAACCCAGTACTGGGAAACATCCATACACACTCATACACTATGGACAATTTTATCTCACCCAGTTCACCGATAGCGCATGTCTTATGCATGTTGCGTTCAAACCAGACGCGGAACGCGCATCAAGCGCGAGTGATTTACATGTTAAGTCAATGCAAACGCGCGAATAGACATCCTGCGGCGCGATACGCGCGAATGGCGCAGCGCAAATTACGTGAATTGCGCGAAAGGCGCAGGGCGAATTGCGTTATGCGCATTTTGACGCGTGTAACGAGCGTATCGCGTGAATCTCTCGAGTTCGAAAATCTGAACTTTAGCGGACATTCGCGCCGCGTTAACCAATCAGAAGCTTGCTCTTGTGGGGGCGTGATTGTGTCGTAGAACCTGTTGATGGTGTTCCGGGGGAAATCCTCCAGGCGACACCGACAACAAGTCATCAAACAGAAGCAGCGCTGAAAGTCTCCGTCATCCAGGTTCAGTTTCTGTAGGAGTTTATGAGCTCACAGAGCTGGATGCACCTCTAAATGTATCGACGCTGTTTTTCAGTCTTCATAAAGCAAATAAACACTGTTATTTTCTTAATAAAATACATGTTAGCCATTTAGCTATGAAGCTAGAGTCACCGGGCAGACAGAAACCCTGCCCATCACGCGAATCCGCGTCTGTTTTGAAGTGAATTTGACACGCGAATGAAGCGGATTTGACGCGCGAATGAAGCGGATTTGACGCGCGAATGAAGCGAGTAAGCTCAAATGTTCACGCGGCAATTTACGCATGAATAGCGCGATTTATCCGCGCGTTCCGCGTCTGGTGTGAACACAGCATTAGGACTTTTGGTGGAGGAAACAGATTTTTTTTTGCAATTTGTTGCTATTTTCAAACCAGCGCAACAGTAATTGTCCTGTTTTGCATTACGTTATTTAAATAGCAAATACATTTGTGCCACTTTGTGGACTCTTGGGTGTGCTGGTCTGAAGTAGAGGTGTGTTAAGGCACATTGTTGGTGCGTTGGTATTTTGAAGAACTGAATAGACCACGTCATTAACCAACTAAAAGCAGGTCTAAAGTCAAGCACAGAGCACGTTAGTTATGCACCTATGTAAGTCCAAACGCTTACACACTGCTGAATACACAAATATCTTGACATATGGAAACAATTAAAGGATTAAAATGTTACAAAAATGATTATTTTCTACACAAATATAAAAACCTCTGCCTCCATGCCTCATCTCGGAGGACTTTTTCAGTTTATATATGACAATTTGCAGTTGTATAATGCTAATATTATTAGCAGTATTATTTTTTATCTGTAGATTTATATTTGTTTTAATAAAAACAAGTGTAGATTTGTTCGCCTGTTGGGTTTTGTAGACGTCTGCATCACCATATGGAGTATAGGAACATGATGTGTGTGTGTGTTTTTTTTACCATACTTTTCCACCATAGTTTCCAACATTTCCTCACTTCACAAAGTAAAGGAGTAAAGAGTAAAAGTAAAGTAAAGAGAGTAAAGAGTTCCCATTCTTACAACAAATTAACCTCTCCAGGGTTCAGTTGAAAACATACTGAGAACAACTCTTGCAGATTGAGGTAAAGTTATTAACAAATTCAGATTTTCTCAATTAATTTGTTTGTTTGTTTGTTTGTTAGTTAGTTCACTCATTCATTAATTCATTCATTAATATTCCTTCGGCCTAATCCCTTATTCATCAGAGGTCGCCACAGTACCCTTCCAGCTGCAACCCAGTACTGGGAAACATCCATACACAGACATACACCACGGCCAATTTAGTTAATCAATTCCCCTATAGCGCATGTGTTTGGACTGTGGGGGAAACGGGAGCACCCGGAGAAAACTCACGCCAACATGGGGAGAACATGCAAACTCCACAAAGAAATGCCAACTACCCCGGCCAGGGCTCAAACCAGCAACCTTCATGCTGTGAGGCCACAGTGCTAACCATTTACACACCTGCCCAAATCAGCCACATCCAAAAATAACCCAAACAAACTTTGGTAAATTTTACCCAAACTAAATGAGGAAGATGGCGAGGCAGTGGTGCAGTAGGTAGTGCTGTTGCCTCACAGCAAGAAGGTCGCTGGGTCGCTGGTTCGAACCTCGGCTCAGTTGGTGTTTCTGTGTGGAGTTTGCATGTTCTCCCTGCCTTCGCGTGGGTTTCCTCCGGGTGCTCCGGTTTCCCCCACAGCCCAAAGACATGCGGTACAGGTGAATTGGGTAGGCTAAATTGTCCGTAGTGTATGAGTGTGTGTGTGAATGTGTGTGTGGATGTTTCCCAGAGATGGGTTGCGGCTGATAGGGCATCCGCTGCGTAAAAACTTGCTAGATAAGTTGGCGGTTCATACCGCAGTGGAGACCCCGGATTAATAAAGGGACTAAGCCGACAAGAAAATGAATGAATGAATAAACGAGGCAGGTGTGAACGCACCCAAAGTTTCACCCTGTACTCAACCCTGTGCTGGATGCAGGACATCTTTGCAGTCTCATTAAAGCAAAAGGTACTTTAGCAAGAGCTTCAGGCTGCCCAAACGCCATTAGATGCTTTAATGAATTAGAATGACAGCTATGATATTAAAGACCACTGGGATAATGACAATGGAAACGACAGTGCTCCTTTGACACTACTGCATGCGCACTTACTTCAATCTAAATTGCTGTACAGTCAAGCAATAGAAGAGCATGGCTGCAGGCGCAAGATGATTTTTTTTATTATTATTTGTAAATGCATGTGGAATCAGTTTAGGCAGATTGACCAGTTCAAAATCTTTAGGATTTTAAGTTCAGAAAGAGGGCGGCACGGTGGCTCTGTGGTTAGCAAAGGGAAAGAGTTGAGTTTGAGTTTTCTTTTCTCTCTATTTCCACCTGGTGATACTCATCCTAAGGCCTCTAGAGATTGTGCAGTGCCATTGATGTGATTCAAGATCTGTGAAGAAATGATGTCAATCATACAGGACTTCTAGAGGTCTCCATAATCCTGGACCAGGCCGTATCCTGAGCAGATGATGTGGTGGTCCTGGAGAAGTGGAGAGCATGAGACTGATTCCTGAAAGACCCCAGTGACAGACGGGTCTCTGAAATGATTCTGTGGGCCGGCCTGATTTCTCGCCAGTGACCTACTCACACCTGCAGATACTCCACGATAGATATCTAGAGTTCTCCAGCCTCTGGCACCTAGACTGCAGCTCTGTTTGGCCAGAGGAGAAATGGTCATGA